CCCGCTCTTCCGGCGGGGGCAGCGGGGCAACGCCAGGCCGCAGTCCAGCGGGAGGCGGCGGGCCGCATCGTCCCCGAGCTCGGCTGCTCCCGAGCCTCCCTGAGCAGCTCCGGCCTGCACCTGCTCGGCCGCGTCGTCCTCCTCGAGCTGCGGGTCCTCTGGCGACTTCGCATCACGCCAGGAGTCGTCCTCGGCGGCGCGGACCCGGGCTCTGGCCCGGCCTTTGCCCCGGCCTTTGGCGCGGGAAGACCTTCGACCCCTACTACGGCCGCTCATGGTGCCAGCGGACAGGGCTTCGGAGCTGGATCAGCCCGGGGTCGCTACCGAGCCGGCCTCTCCATGGCAACCGTGACGTCATCACGGCAGGACCCGCTGTTGCCAGTGATTGGCTCCGCTGCAGCGGCTGCGCACCAGCCCACCCTTCACACGCCGCACCCCCTTGATGTCATTTTGCTGTTGAAAGTTAGTTTCCACCTGCCGCTGACCTTGGTTGTGTTGCTGATTCATCTCCCAGCATTGATCGCGAGCGTGTCCCCAGGGGCTCATAAGACACAGCCATTGCTCTTACAATGGCATCTTGAAGACAGCCACCACCAGTCGGCATCGCCAATTTTTCTACTCTTCCTCTTCAGTTATCTCGTGTGACATCTCTCATAATTAAATGTTCATCGACATTTCTGTCTCATCACATAATTATTCTACTGTGATATTTGCCCCAGCAACTTAACTCTAATGTGTAGGCAGATGCCATAATGCTGATCTAGAATGATTTAGAAAGAACAAAAAGTCACAGCAGCTAATATTGTATAATCAATCATACACAAAAGGCACTTTACTGAATGTTTTTCTGCGTTATCTCTGTTCATGAAGGAGGTATTGTTATTTTTCCCAGTTTCTTGATAAAACTGCGGCTGAGAGGCTGGCTTTGCAATTCAGTGGTAAGACACTTGCTTAGCAAATGTGGGAAGTCCTGGGTTCAGTTCTTAGTGACAAGGTGGAAGAGGAGGAGGAAGAGGAGATGAGGAGGGGAAGGGTACTAAGGAACATTCTGGAGATCACACAGGTAAAGAAAGGCTGCCATGGCTTATCTGGCTACATTATTTATGCTCACACAGTCTGTTGGCCCTTTGCAAATGACTGTGCTGGCTCCTAAAAAAGACTGTTAACAGACCCAAGACTCTTCTGCCTGGGTCCGGGTTCTCCAGCTGCCTCAACCTACACAGAGTTGCGCTGTGAGTCTCAGTCCAGAGCCATATGTAAAGGTCCTGAGTCTACGCTGCTGTCGCTGGGATAGGACACATAGAATGAAAATATCATTCTGGGAGTATAGAAGGATTTTCAGGTGAGATTCCGAGACAGAGCGCCTATAGGAGCAGGGAGGAGGCCCTAGAAAATGAAGCTGTCAGACAACCTGACTGAAATTCCCAGAGTAAGTTCCAGATCCTGTGGCCATGCTACAGGACCACGAGGAGTGAGGGAATCCATGGCCAGTATGGATGTGTGATCAAATCTTCAGAGTGCATCTTCCAGGTTCAAGCACAACAAAGCCCTTGCAGCAGTGACAGAAAAGCGACTCCATCAGCCACTAGGGCCTTGACCCCTCTCTGCTCCTTTCAGGTAGTGTCTTTGTAGAACCCGCAGCTGGGCAGCATCCGGAAGCTTGCTCAAGGTGCAGACCTCCCAGATCAGAAACTGAATGTTAACAAGCTCTCAGGTGGCTTTTATGTCCATTAAAGTTTAAGTGTAGATGATGTGGTGGGGGACATTGCTCTGAAACAGGCCCTAGTTTGAAAAAAGCCAATTCAGGTGAGTCTTAACGTTCTCAAAGGGCAGGCAGTTGCCTGGAAGGCTCCAGATCCAACACAGTCTCGCCTCTAATCGTCTGTCTGCTCCCCTCTCCAATCACTCCTGTCTCTGGGCTCAGAACCTCTGTGCTGGCCCTTCCTGCTACTTTAAATGCTCCATACCCCCATGTGTTCTGGGCCCCTTTCTCACTCTTACTGCCATCATATTTGAAATTGTCAAATCCTCCCATTTCTGCTTATTTTCTTGTCCATAGCACCTATCCACGTTCTATACACTGTCCGTAGTTTGGGGATATATAATCTTTAAAGTATATACATTTATTTATTTTGTGTGTGTGTGTGTGTGTGTGTGTGTGTGTGTGTGTGTGTTAGTTTATGTGTAACACAATGCAGGTGTGGAAGTCAGAGGACAATCTGGGGAAGTGGGTTCTTTCCTTCCACATCATTGAGTCTGGGCCTTCCTTATTGTTTTTGCTGCTCTGTGTACCCTATGTACACAGAGGCCAGAGCCTCTGGGCATCTCTCCTGTGTCTGCCTCCCATCTCAACATAAGAGTGTGAAGCCACTGTACCTCATGTCTGATGTTGTTGCTGCTTGTTTGTATTTATGTGAGCTCCAGGGATTGAACCCAGGAGGTCAGGCTTGCCCAGTTACATCTGTTCAGAGTTCCCTGGTTTATTGTTTAATTGTCTGCTCTCCAGAATGTCACCTCCGTGGACAGAAGGGTCTTTGTTTTGTTCACCGTATCTTCAGTTTCTACACACAAATAGCATTTAATCATTATAGACTGGAAGAATCGAGTAAAGCAGAGTTTTTAAAAGAGTTTATAAATGATGTCTTAAATTCAAAATACTCCCTTTTTCTTCACAAAAGAAAGGCTATTGGTAAAAGCTATGTTCCCAAGTCAGCCTGCAGGAACCTATTAATCTCAACATTTAGCCAGAAATCTGTTGTTTGTTATGGAGTTCCCCTCAGGGACAGTGTGTACGTGAAAAATCTGGGGTGACAGATGAAAAACGTAAATTGAGAAGATTGCTATTTAACTAACAGGGATTCATTAGTCCAGAGGTCACCTCAAATCCTTGTTGAAGGCCTCTCCTGAGCACTGCTTCCCCATCTTCTTCTAGTCAGCTCAGGCTACAGTGAGCCGTCCTGACCTGGGTCTCACGGAACACTGGCTCACTGTACTATTTGTTCAGCCGTTAGGCACACACCCTCTTTCCCAGTTCTATCACAGAATTACTTCTTAAACTGGATAATCATGGTCTGGAACTCTGTAAATCTCAGATAAACAAAAAGTGAGCTGAAGCGGCCTGTATCCCTCTACAGATCGGGGCACTTCTCCAAGCACTCGCGGCTTAAGTGTCTCTGTTGTCAAAAGTCTTAATCCAGCTTCAGTACCCACATCACATAACTCCCCAGAGACTAAGCCACTGCAGGATTAACAGCGGCCAGGCCACTGCAAACACAGTTTATTGTGTGATCTGCCTTGAGCCTTGTCTCTGCCTGTCAAATAGATAGGCATCAGGTAAGCAGAGACTAACACCTTTTACAGAAATACTCTTACGATCCAGATCGCCCAGCTCTAGCATTTAGAAGGCTGGTCTGTGGTGATGAGCTGGTTATTATTAGGGGTATTAATATCACAATTGTATATGACTGAAGCTTAACTGCATAAAGAGGACTGTGTATCATTTTACTTTTATCCCTCAGAGCACCTAGCATGGAGCCTTGCACATACTAGTAATTATGATGAAAACTCGCATTTACTCGTACTTTATACGATGCCACATCTTAACTCATTTAATCCCCATAGCCACCCTAAGGGGCAGAAGCAATTATTGCTCTCATTTGAAGATGAGGTTACTGCTACACAAAATGGTTCAATAGCTTCCCTAAGGTTATACAGCCGGCAAGTGGTTTTCACAAAGGCATTTCAACCCCAGCATCATGCTCTTCCCTAGTGGCCCATGATGTCAAATTAGAGCTTGAAAGACTAATCGCTCTAGTACCCTAATTGCTTTTTTCCCTCTCTAATATTTTCAAAATTGTATCATTGTATACAATTGTATACATGCATATTTATTGTGCATTTGTTAACATATACACAATGTATACAGCAAGTGGGATTTATCAAAGGGTGTATTAGCATGCTTGACATTGCAGTACTCAACATGAATCAACTTAGTTTCAACAGCCAATGGTGGAAATACAGCCCTTCAGGTTCTACTCTATTTGTCCCAAGCATTCTGTGACTATTATTATATAAATATAAGTTTATCTTGCACTTAAGGGATCTAAGGGTACTGTAACTTCTTCCTAAAATGTAAAGACTTAGTCCGTAATAATGTGAGCGTGCAATTCTTTTTGTTGTGGCATTTTATTCTCGGAAAACTTAAAAATAAGTCAAGATGTTATAGTTAGGGTTTGCTTTTGTGTGAAAGTCTGATTCCTTCTGTTTCTTTTAAGGTCAGTTTTTCTCAGATCGTAGAAATTAATGAACTTGGAAAAGGACATCCCAGCCACCCAGTCTATTCCCCAGCCAAGGGAACAACATTTCCCACAGTCTCTCTAGCAGGGTCTCAGGATCCCAGACTTGACATTTTTAGCGATGGAACTTTCCTCTTCTTCCCCAAGGAGATGCTTCAAGCCCCATTAGATGGCAGGGAGTGCTGCATGCTGTGAGGAATTTTGCCAACTAACCCCCACCTTCAGCTTCTGGAAGAGCATGGAAAAAAAAGAAGTATCAAGGGAATGTTTCCAAAGTCAAGGAAAGAAGGAGAGAGAAACTTAACCTCTTATGGTAAATGTCCAGACTGTCTGAACTTAACCCTAAAAAAATGTGCTTAGCTTCTTCAGAGCCCCCAAAGCTACAATCCCAGAGTAGACCACCTACGTCTTCTCAGTTCATTCATATAAGCAGCCATAGAATATTTTAAAGTATTTCCACATGTGTTTTTCCTTCTTGGCATTCCTCTTTATTCCGAAATACCAAAACTACTTTAAAAATATCTTTAAGCTAAAAAAGGAAACTACATAAGAATACAGAAAAAAGATTTTTATATTAAATTTATCACTTTGAATTCCAAAATGTATCCAGAGAAGGAAAGGCGAAATAGCATTGAAATATATAAATGCACACATGCATACATACACATATAACACACACAAATATGGTGTACATTTACTTATATGTATATATACATATACATATTATTATGTTTATGTGCATAGTTATAGTTTTCCATGCTATTATTCCAGAAATTATATGTGTGTGTGTGTGTGTGTGTGTGTGTGTGTTTCTATGTGAGTGGAGGGGTTACTGGCTAGTTATATGACAACTTGACACAAGCTAAAGTCATTTGAAAGGAGGGAATCTCGGTTGAGAAAATGCTTCCATAAGATTCAGCTGCAGGGCATTTTCTTAATTAGTGATCAATATAGCGAGAGACAAGACCAGTGTGGGTCATGCCAACCCTGAGCTGGTGGTGCTGAGTTTTATAGGAGAGCAAGCTGACTGTTTTTGAGGCGCTTTTCCTCCTACTAGGT